GTCACCCACCTGGGGGAGGGGCTACTGCCCTTTGTGATGTCATGAAGGGAAAATCTCCAAACGGCCTGTTTGAGCACACATTTTCTGAAAAGTGGAGCAGGCAGAAGACGGAGAGGATGGACTTTTCTCATCATAGGGGGGTTTGTAGACAGGGACACATGTTAGTGTTAGAGGAACATGGAGAAGAGGATTTAGCAGATTATGTGATCTTTCAAACATCTGACATTTAGGTCCATAAAATGTGTTCATCATTTCCTCTTATTATGGATATCTGTCACCCTGTTAATGGTTAATATGCAGAATGTAGATTTCATCCAAACAATCAGAACTTTATCTGTTTAAAGATGTTTATGGTAATGTAATTACAGTTTTTAATACCATGTTTAACGTTGCTTACAATCTTCTTTTCACTTTCATTATTGTGTGGTTCAACGGTAACAAACATGTTAAATTATGGTTAAATGAAAGCATGGTGTGAAGCAGATATCCTGCAGATGGGAGAGAAAATATGTTGAGTTTTTTTCTGTAATTTGGTCTTTCAGGGACCCTAGTGGTCTCCCCTCAGTACATTCTGTCGTGTAATTAACTTTTTACTTGTATCAGCTCTTCTTGACCCGACTCGCCTCTGTGCCTCTCTGACAGATTTATCAAAGTTGGTCATTGGTGCAAAATAGCAGCCTAGGGGAGGAGAATCAAAGTGAATGCTCTGTGTTTTTATAAAAAAGCATTTAAATGTTTCGGACGGGAATTTTTCTTTGATATTTCTCAACCCCGATGTTATAGATTTAAAAATCATGGATGCAGAGAGTCAAGGGCAAGAGCAGCAGGAATCCTGGTCGAGCCGTTCCTGTGTGTGTTTGTGCGTCTTTGTTTATCTGCGTAGAAATGGTGTGTGCGTGTGTTTTTGTGTGTTAGAAATCAAAAAAGAAGGACAGTGTGTGTGCTGTGTGTGTGCTGTGTGTGAGTGCCGATGCGTCAGGACCTACAGAGTGTGAAATGGAGCAGGGAGGTTCAGGCTTCACCCGCGACACACTGCAACACACACATCCCTCTCCCTCTCTCTCCCTCTCTCTCTCTCTCTCTCTCTCTCGCCCTTCCCACAAACCCCTCACCCTCCTCTTTTCTCTTCATTTTCCTCTCCTTCCATGCTTTTCCTACTTTCATTTTCATCCCCTTCCACCTCCCCCCTCTCTTTTTCTCTATCTCTCCGTCGCCGCTTTATTCCACTGCTTTATCTCTCTGGATAAAGCTCTCCCTGCTGTGGAGTTTGTTTTTCCCCCTGCTCTGCCTTTATCTTCCGTTTGGATGCCGTGTATGTGCGGCAGCACAGAGAGAAAGCGAGAGAGAGAGACATAGACGGGGGAGAGAGAAAGCTGGGAGACAGCATCCCCATGTCAGGCCAATGATGGATTAGAATACTAAAATACTGGAGAGAAAAAGCAGACACACTACACTCTCAAATCTGACATGCTGTGTGTGAGTGTGTGTGCGCTTTCGTGCGTGTAAATCTACTGCACGGTAATAGAACAATAAAAAGAAGGCTTCTTTCCGAGCACACACACACACACACACACACACATATATATATATATATATATATATATATATATATACGCCTTCTCTATTTCTCTCTCGCCCCGCAGGCTTCTTCCTCTATCTCTCTCTGAGTTGATTTAACGCATGGCTTCTCCGCTTGTTTATTACAGTACATATTAATGTAAATCACCGGTGTCCACTCTCGCCCCTGTCTCTCTCTCTCCCTCTGTCCGTCCCTCTTGTCTTTATGTCGCCCCTGACAACAAACAGCCCAGGCAACAATTAAAACGAACATCAGGGAAAAAAGGCCGTCGCTTCGGCCCCAATCGGCCACGTCAATCAGGCGTCCGCCCTTCCCTGCTGACCTCAATTAACCCCAACTAGTTGGTTATATGAGGTGGGGGTACTGGGGGGGGGGGGGGGCTTTCTAATTCTATGTGATGCAGCGGAGGACAGATGGAGGGAGCGTTTCTGAGGTCAGAGGAAAATGCTCGTCGCCTTTTGAGCTAGTACACAAGACGCTGACTTTAGTTGAATTTAGAGGAGAATCTCCTCACTGTTAAAGACGCTGCTCAGCAGCCAGGAGACACTTTTACAGTGTATTCAACTTTTACAGTGTATTCAGACTGTGGAGTGGAAACACACCTGAAAGGGATTTTATCTGTAAAGTCGTATAAATGACAAGCAGGTTCAAACACTTCCAGACTTGTTCTCTGACTTGTTATTTTTTATTAAAATGTATTAATTTAATTTGAATTATTTTTACTTGAACATATTTTCAGATTTCATAATTTCAGTAATTTTAAAATTTTCTATTTTAATGTTTTTTTTCTTTCCTCTGTCACTTTGAATTGCCTTGTTGAAATGTGCTATATAAATAAACTTGCCTTGAGATGGGCTTCATCGTTGTCCCCACAGGCAATGCATCCAATCAAATTACGTCCACTAAAAGTTGTTGTTTTTGACGCGGACAGGTTCAGATCGTTATTCTAAGTGACCACCTACATTACACAACTCATCCCTACAGAGACGGATAAGAAAAGAGAAGAAAAGATCCTCTCTCTTTATCGCCCTCGTCAAAGCCACCAGACTCCATTTAGAAAAACACAGATTTGTAATAACTGGTCGACTACTATAGAAATATAACTGAATTTATTGCACATGATTTTGGGGAACTAACTTGGAGTGGAGTCAGTGGTAGATCAGCAACTCCCCGTGTATAAATAACTCTGTTGTGGATGGGGTCTGGGGGTTTTGAGGAGGACTCTGTGAAGGTTCTGTTGTTGTTGATCATAAATCCTCTTACTCTTTAACAAAAAGCTTTGCATCATTTCTGTTAACACTTTCAGACACTTCCCAATCTGAGCTTGTTTGTGAAAACACAGAGTGTACAGAGCTCTTTCTTTGTATCAGACGTTTAGAGACAGAAATATAAAAAGCTCTGTCCCAAATGTTAGGGATGGGTATCCTTTAATTATTCAAAGTGGACAGTGGACAGAGTCAGAAATCTGGGAGGGAAAGAGAGTTGGGAAGGACATGCCGGAAAGGAAAAAAACAGGCGCCGCCTGCTGTACCCGAGTACTGCAGCCCCTGCATATCGGGGTGTCTGTGCTAAACACTGCAGCTACTCCCGCCCCCGAGTCGTCTATTTTGCCATCATTCTTCCAGACGTCACATTTCCTGCTCACTGCTGACATCGTGCATGTAACTCTACCTGAAACAACACATGCAGGAGTGGGAGTAGTGAAATGTAACTTGATTATTGACGTCAACATCGAGTACTTGAGTAAATGACCCATGCCTCCTGAGTCCTTGAATCCTTCTTTAAGGAGCTCGAGATGTTCCTCTAACTTTCCTGGAGCGGTCATGACCTCTCTCGTCTGTCTTAATGAAAACACTTGATGGAGACATTTGCAGTCATTACAAAGGATGAATGTTTCATTGTAATCAGGCTGATTGCAGATTGTTTGTTTGTGACTCTTAGTGAACACTGCGGCACACTCCTCCTCACAGAACCACACTTTTCACTGTTCAGCCGGCGACATCAATGAGGGATCTCAGGTGAGCCCGCAGAGCTTTACTCACAGTCTTATCACTGTTTGTGTGACTGACAGGCGCTTTGTCTGAGGGCTGTGTTCAGTGTGTGTGTGTGTGTGTGTGTGTGTGTGTGTGTGTGTGTGTGTGTGTGTGTGTGTGTGCCTGTAGAGAGAGAAGAGGTTGCAGACCTGTCACCTCTCGCTCTCTCTCATCCTTTCATTCCCTTTGTAGTTTGAATCCTCGGTGGTTTCACAAAGCAGACCTCCTTTATCCATCCCTCTCTCTGCTCTCCCTCTCCCCTCCTTTCCTGTTTGTCTTTCCTCTATCCTATCCCTCCTTCTTTCCTTATTCTACTACTCTCTCTTCTGCTCCTGCTCTTTGCTCCTCCTTCTTTTCTTCCTTTCTCTTCTTAAGTCTCACCTTCACTGCTCTCCATTTTCTCTTGTTTTTTTCCTTCCTATTTCATTGGTTTCATTCTTGTTTATTTGTCTTTCTGTTGCCATTTTCTTCACTCTCTTTATCTGTCTTTCATATCCGCTCATTTCTAATTCTACCTATTTCTGCCCGTCTTCTCTTTATTTATCGGATGTCATCCTCATCATCCCTCCTAAATTGTCTCCTACAAGTCTCTCCTTTCTTTCGTCCATCCCTTCCTTCATTTGTCACATCCTTTCCTTTATTCCTTCTTCTTGTCTTCTTCCAACTCCTTCTCGTTTCCTCCTCTCTTTTCTTCATTCCTCCTCCCATCTGCCTTTATTTTCTCAACTTTCTCCACCCCATCATCCCCCTCTCTCTCCTTTCTCTTTCTCCTCCTGTCCTCCACTTCTTCTCTATTATTTCTCTCTTGTTTTTGTCTTCTTCATTTCTTCCTTCTGCACCTCTCCTTGTAGACTTATTCCTCCTTCTCTTGCCCCTTCCCTCCTCTCTCCCTCCTCCGTCTCCTTGCCCTCCACCATCACCGGCGCCCCTGCAGATGGAAGTTAATTTTACACGCTCGTGAGAAATAGGAAGAAAAAAAAATTAGTGTCAGCAAAAGATTTATAAGACATAGAAACTCAAGAGCCGGCGATTCTCTGTGCTGTGTTTGTGCTCCAGGGTCCTTTCTGTTCTCGCTATAGCACACTATTTCTATCACTGCCTGATACCCCCCCCCCCCCCCCCCTCCCTGAATCACACACACACACACTGCTCCCCCCTCAGGAGCCTGTCAGATGATAAAGAGATGTTGTCAGAGACTGATTATCAGCCAGGCACCTAAAAACAAGTAAAACATCAAACGCACAAAGACCACACAGGGACTCGGCCTTATTTTCCCCCCCTAATTTCTCCTCCATAAATCTCTCCCTCTCTCTCCGACTTCCTTCCCCGACTCTTTTCCATTTTGTCTCTGTGTCGCTGTCAGAACAAGCGTGTGTTTGTGTGTTCTGTTTTTTTTTTTTTGCCTGCTGGGGAGCCATTTGATTTGTTCTGCCGTTTTAGAGCTCATATTGTTTCTGGTGTGTTGTTTTTATTATGACGCCTTTATTCATATCGGTTGCCTGTGGCAGCGCAGGTCCCGGTCCCTGAGTCACCGGGGAGCGAGATAGGGACGGGGATAAAGCAATAAAGCAAGAAAGAGCTGCATCGGCTCGACGCACAACAGGAAGTGTGTGTGTGTGTGTGCTAATGTGCTAATGTATGTGAGTGTGCAGTTTGTGTGTAGTTTGTGTGTGTGTGCTGACGTGGGTGGGAAACGATGAAGTGCAAGTTTAAATTAAAACAAAAAGCTTCACTCAATTTTCTCAGCAATACACACACACACACACACACACACACACACACACACACACACACACACACGACACACTTGGCACCTGATGTTCATTAAACAATGAGAGACGAGTGTGTCGTTTGTCATTCAGCATGGCGGCCGGGAGAAGACGATCGCTCTAGCCGTCAGTGTGATTAAAGTTTGTCGCATGTATCGTATATCAGCGCGCTCCACACCTTCAGTCATCGGATGATCCACGGACAGGTGAGCCTCCACCAGTGGGACAAAAACCATCCTTCATCAATAAGTGAAACAAAGTAAAACAACACAACAAGGTCTGACTGCAGCCGGAGTCTGTACGCGGAGGTGTTCACATCCAAACACAGAGTTCATCAGATCTTTAATCCATCGTGTTTGGTCTGCTTTGTTCGCAAAACAAGCTAAACATTCACTCACTTTGTTGCAAGCAAAGCTGACAAAGTGCACAATCAGCACATTTTGAAACATGACCCCCAACAAATAATAATAATGTAATAATGTATGAAGTTTGTCTGTTGTGTACGTTTTCATTTTGGGTGAAACCAAACTAACCTAAGAAACAACGCTTTGAAGAGGTTGACGTTTGATCTTTTTCATTGTCAATATTTTAGTGCAGTTACAATCATTTCACAATTGATGAAAAAAACAAAATATTATTAAATTGACGTTAAACTCAAATACACAATTTTAGGCCCTTTATTGGACACAATTCATCAACACACACGCCCCCAACAATCTGGGGAGGTGTGGCCAGAGTCGAGTCTAGTACTGACCAATTCTTTGTCCAAATAAGTGTGTGGTGTCAATAACATTATTTTAGTCCTCCTGATCGAGTTGGAGCCTCCCAGAATCGTAAAGATCAAACATGTTTGATCTTTAGAATTCTGGATCAGGTTTGACTCCAACAGAATACAAACAAGAGCCAATGAGAGCGAGCGCAGACGGGGAAGCGTCACAGAGCGGATGTTGGGTAATTTAACAGCTCGCAATAATGTCAGCGAAAAAAAATAAACATGACTGAGCCCCGAGCCAAGTGGAATATCTAAGAAGAGTCGCTTGTGGCAACAACAAGAGTCTCTTTATAACGTCTCAAACCACACGAGTTTCTGTGAGATCAAAAAGAAGGGGTGTGGTCTGACGGTGTGGTCGAATCGTGTAGTGTGTCCTTATGTCTCCCATGTTTTAAAAATCTGTTAAGATGTGAAAATCATCTCGTGTGTAGTCAGACTGAGCTGCTTATATCGCTTGTTTAACACTTTTACAAACTTATAGCTCATAAATCATCTCAACAAGGTAACCTTTGCTATGGTAACGTGACCAGTGAGCTTACTTTCTGTAGAATATGTCGGGGATGCAACATATCCTAAAAGACAATACTCTCTCCAACCAACATATCCTAAAATACAAAACTTAATCCTGCTAACTTGAATGTGCAGAAACAGAAGCTGAATCTATGACACGAGCAGAAGTATGATGCTCATTGGTTGTTGGGCAGCATGTGAACACCTCCACCTTGACCTGGTCTTTTGTGCTCCCAGGACCACCACTTCAGCTGCAGCCAGACCACCATGAACAAAGTGTCTTTTGCAAAGGAGGAAAGGAAAGGAAGCAAGGACAAGAAGTGAGGAATCGACGGGGTGCTACTGACTAAATGTGAAGTCCTTTTCTTCACTTTGTCTCCTTTCATAGCCGTCAGTCCAGGATCTCTGGCAGGTCCATTGTTTGTGGATGTATGTATGTATCTGTGTGTCTGTGTGTGTGTCTCCTCTTCATGCTCCGTTTTTAACCCCAGCTGAGGGAGGCGGTCAGGAGCAGGAGGAGCAGTAGGACGGGTGCAGGAGGGCTGGTGGGGAGCGACGCGGCGCCCCCTGTACCGGAGGAGCCCAGGTTGGAGACGGTGGCCCTCTCTGAGTAAAGCGGGATGACATCAAACTGACCACCTTCATTGCCTTCCTCCTCCATCTGCGTCAGCTCCTCCTCTTCCTCACTCTCCACCACCTGACAGGGACGAGATGCTGTGAGTAAAAACTGACAGGATGTCTGAGCTCAGATATTATCACTTCTAACACCTGATACTGAATTTAAGAGTTCATATTCGTTGTTTTATTCTACAAGTCCTTTTACCAGGAGGTCTGAAAAAAGATTTAAGATCAAGTCAAGGGCCCACATTATGCTTTTTCTGGTTTTATATGCTCTTTAGTGTGTTTTCCAAGTGTCCTGTGCATGTTTAGGCACATCTATTTGCAAAAATTCAAAGTCCACGGAAACGCGGCTTCTCCTACGTCCTCCTGTTAGCTGTAGCATTAGTTGCATGTACCGCTCGGTTCTAGCCCCTCTCGAAAAAAAATTGACAGTCCGACGTCATTGTCAGTGTGAGATCACTGATCTAAGTCCATTGGCTCATTGTGGCAAACCGTGCAGCTCATTTTGAAATTTCCGAGACGTGTGCTGAGCAACTGACCAATAACTACAGAGCGGATCGGCAGACCAATCAGAGCAGACTTAGCCCACGTGGGGTCTAACAGTGTGGGCTCAGCAGAGCGTAGCTGACAGACTCAGAGCGGAGAGGGAGCAAGGAGGAGCAGTACATGAAAACAGACACTTTTTTCAGACTTTAGCTATTGTGAACGTACAAAAGTAGGAACATAGATTAAATATACGAACCCCAAAAAGGGCAGAATATGGGCTCTTTAAGTAAAAGCATATAACCCTTAAATCTTCTTAGCTGAATTCTTGAAGGACTCAAACAGAAGATGTTTGTCCAAGTCACAGTTTAAAGTTCCAGCTAAACAAAATGTGCACAAGATGTAAAGAAGCAACAAGCAGCCTACATAAACAAGCGGAGGAAGTGCAGTCATGTCCACGTGAACACAGAGTTAAGAACATCAAACTCAAAGGGAGTTTGACTTCACTATTTGTTGAAATGTTGCATATTACACCGTTGATCTTTCCTCTGTAAAAAGACTGAATGCTCATGCTAATGTGGTTTTCATTTGAGCTCTTTAAAGGAAGAATGTGTGATTTTTTGATCCAGTAGATGTCGCCCTTGAGCATCAGCATGAAACCAAAACAAACTGCTGTTTAGCGACACCTCCTCCATACTGAAACTCCAACCCTTCTCCACTCAGGTTCAAACGAAGGAGTTATGAATTAAAACGCACCATGATTAAGCACCATTAAGTGCAAGTGGCGGACAAATTTTCTTTTGCTCGAGCTGCAATCACCTGTGTTTATTCACCACTCACCACTATTTGTTTATTCACATTTCTTTCCACATTTGTTTATGGTTGAAATGACATGTTCATGGTAAATGGACTTGAGCTTGTGTATTTCTTTTCTAGTCTTCTAAATACTCAAAGGTCTTTTACACTGCAGGTCACACCTACACATTCACACACTGATGACAGAGGTTGGAAGTGACAAACAGAAGTAACTAATCTATTCATAGTGAGTCCAAGACAAATTTCCCCAAGGGGACTATAAAGTGTATCGTATCATACTCATTCACATGCCGCTGCCAAAGCAGTGGGAGCAACTTGGGGTTAAGTGTCTTGCCTAAGGACACATCAGACATGTGGCTACAGGAGCTGGGGATCAAACCCTCAACCTTCCGGTTAGGAGACGGCCGACTCTACCAACTGAGCCACCTTTGTTTTAATCATTAATGAAGACTTTGATGAAGAGAAGTCTTTATTTAAAACTTTCAAGCTGTTGATGAAAATGACTGAGTGTCACTTTACTGGAGTTGAGTGTTGAGGACGCCCAGCTGTTTATCCTCAATGATCTGCACAAACATCTGGAGGAGCCCCGAGCTGCTGCCAGGTTATAGTTTGCAGATTGTTCTTGGGCTGATAATAATACACCGCTCCATCATTTCATTGAAATACTGCCTCAGACAGCAGCTCCTGTCTGGATATTTACATTTTTGTACTTTTATTTTGTACTCTTCATCATCTCGTCTGACAGCTGGAGAAGCTTTAAACCGTCGTCTGTTTCTCCTTCAGGGCGCAGAAACTCATCACTCTGGGATTTTTCTTAATTTATTATAACGTAATGCGACAATCATCTTGTGCATCATGGTGGAATAGATTCTGATAAGTCCTGACCGACGGAGAGAGCACCTCCTGTCTTACGTTGAAACTTTTCTCCATCGTGCACAGTTTGGTCTCATCAGTCTCATGACCTTTCTTTTGTTTTATCACATTAATGAGTCATCGGAGCACAGGGATGACTTAAAGACCACGATGAACAAGTCTCTGAAAATCATTAAAAATATATATATATATATATATATAATATTCACGTCTTCTACGATAAGTCGCTGTGGAAGCAACTCCCAAACCCCCCTGGATAACCGAGCTTCAATTTGACCCTAAATGTGACAAATAGACTTGAAACGAGAGATTGAGACTCACAAGGGACTAAATCAACTGAGAAGTAGGACCATTTTCTCTTACAACTTCCACCAGATATGTGTGCATTGTGTGTCCGCTCCAGTCCGTTACCGCTCCGTGCAAACCTCGTCCGTCAACAGCAGGAGTGCCGAGACAAAGGAAATCTTGCGGTGATTTTACAGATTCACTCGTGACAGCACGAGATAATTCGATGTTTGTGGTATAGGACAGAATAAAACCAATTAAAAAACATTTACAAACAAACAGAAGGTCATTGTTCTAAAAATAAGCCGGATGTTTTAATGTTGTTTCAGTGTCTGACTTCCCCTCCCACTCTGACTTTTCTGTGGTAAAGTGATGCGGTGGGCTCCGGCATCCAGAAGGTTTCAGATGCAATTCATATCTTTCACTCGTCTTTACCAAGCAACAACCTCCGGTGTTAAAAATGAAGCCAGTGGGGAAGTGCAAAATGCTGCAGTTTGTCGAGTGTCTGCTTGAGTCTGGCTCAGGAACACAGGAAGTCACATACACACCACAGCAACAACAAAAAAAAGCAAAATTTTCCAGCAGAAATGAACATCTTTACAGCCTGGTTCAAAAAACCAAATAGGTGTGATTAGCTCATGTCTCGATGGACACACACTGTACGGGGGTGAATGTTTTGATGACTCATCAGTTTTGATTTGATGAAGGATAAGAGTTATTCACAATAAGGTGTGTAGCTGACCTGATTGACAGGCGGGCGCGGTGTAACGGTTTGTCAGGAGGTTTAAAACTCAACTCCAGCTCTCAGCCTGTCATTTGTAATGGCGTGTTTTCATTTTGCAAACTCAACTCCTGAACTCTTGATTACTAAAAAAAAGCCATTCAAAATTATGTTGTGTTTTGTGTTCTCTGATTAGTTTTGAGTAAAATTTTCAGCAACAGAAATAGATGTATCTACAGTTGATGAAGTAAATAGTCTGTTGGTTGAAATCTTGTCTCTCTCTCTCAGTTTTTATTGCACTCCTTGAGCAGACACAACATTTCAAACAAAGAGCGGTAATCTGTGTTTCTAAGTGTGACACTTTTTTCTTTTCCTCTGCCTGAGCCTATCCTCAGCTTTTTGAAGTGAAACCTTTCAAATTCTGGAAAAATCACTTTAGAGAAACAAGGCAAAGCTCCTCGGAGAGACAAGACAAGAGGCTGAGTGACGGACGGAGGAGGAGGAGGAGGAGGTGTGGAGCAGGTACTGATGGGGGGAGGGGGGTTCAATAAGGAGGGAATGAAGTGAGAGCAGAAACATTGAGTGTGAAGCAGGAGAAAAGAAAGAATGGAGGAAGTGAGGAGAGGACGGAAGGAAGGAAACATAGGAAGAGGGGGATTTGGGGAAGGAAGAGATTGAGGGGGGAGACATATGGGCATGAATAAATTCATACTAATGAAGCCTGACTGATGCACTGCTTCCAACCAACACCTCGTCTAATCCGCTCGTCGGCAGAGAGAGAGTCGGCCGAGGAGGAGCGAGAGAGAGAGCTGGAATCCCCTCTTGTCTGGCGGCTGCGATTATCTCTGGCAGTGAAGCATGCTGGGAGCCGGAGAGCCACAGCCACGGCAGATTGCGGTCCGGCAAAGGTTACAGTAGCCAGGACCAGGATTGGATTGGACCACGTTTAACGGTCAGTGTTGGACAAGGACTGCCAGGAGCTGAACATATGTGCGTCTGTTAGTGTCTGCACATTACTGAGCTGGCAGACAAACACATGATCCAACAGGATGGAGATACAACACTGCAGGGCCAGAATGGTCCGTGTGAGGCCTGAAGGGCTGTGAGAGACAAGGTGATCGTACGTACATCAGGACGGCCAAAACATTTCTATGACTGCAGTGAAGTCTGAATCCCCACACCACCCACCTGCTTAGCATCAAATGACTAATAGGGAGGGCACCTAACATGACCTCTCGTTCAGACAAACTTCCAAAAAACTCCTGAAAAAGTTTTTAGGGTGAGCTGCATGTGTGAACGCAACCAGACAAACTTTTCACTCTGACTTTACCGGGAGTTCTCCTGCCAGCTTCCTGGTCTTTTTCTCCTGAAAGTCTGAGTGAGCTGATGTGAGAACACAGCAGCATATAATCAGAACCCCCCCCCCACCTCCCTGCCTGACAGGGATACTCTCCCACAGTGAGGTGCATGTGTGAACAGCCAGATCAGGAGGATTTCAGGGGCAGTCCTCCTCAAATTCTCCAGAATAGTTTGGGCGTGCATCAAAGTGCAGCTTATGTGAGGTCAGAGTTAAACATATTCTCTTTTTACACAGGGCCTTTTCCAGGGTATTTTTATTTTTCTTCTGTGTTGTGAAAGCCTTAAATTCACATGTAAAAACTTTCCAATATAAACAGGAGAAACTCCAACCTTAAGACCAAAGTCTGTCTCTGGGATCGGAGACATTACCAGCTGATTTTAATTCTTAAAATGTTTTTTTCAACTGATCGGACCACAGTGGATCCATTGGTTTCAGTCCGGGTCAGCAGCTGTTCTGGCAGGCCATCAACCAACGATTCGGTGGGGAGGGGGTAGGGGTGGGGTGGGGCTTGTTCTGGCAGGCCGTCAACCAACGATCT